TATAATCCTCCCATTTATCTTTTGGTACAGATCTGGTTTGATTAGGGTTCAAGTAGATCCTTGAATATTGTATTCTAAATTCAGGGAATATGATTCCCAGTTGGGAGAAGGTAGGAAATTTTTGAAATTCGCCCCACCCATTCCGCAACCTTTATGGCGTCCATTAGATGGATCCTACCATTCTTTCAGTCCGAGGTGGCTGGGCCTGCTCCGGAGGTTGCAGTGGAGCCCGAGATAGCAGAGGCTCGGGATATTGATACCACAGCCTCCCACACTCGGACGGTGCTCTCCAGCTCGGGGAGCCAAGAGGGGGTTGGTAGCATACTAACGCTGAGCTACGCTCTTCGCAAGAGCAAGAAGGCTGTCAACCCCGGGGAGGTTGCGGCATGGGCTGACCTCCCTCCAAGTCACATCGGGGCGCGCACTGCGTTACATGCTATGGTGGAAAGTCGTAGTGGTTTCTCTTGGTGTTTTCCTTTGTGCTATTATTCTCTTCTTGTTGGACTGACTTGTTCTCGCTTGGCAGGTAAACTCCTCCATCCACACCCTAACTCTTCAGGCGGAGAGGAACTTGAAGTGGGCACAAGCTACCGAGGAGGCTTCTCACGCAGTGCAGGCAGAGCTAAGGGCAGTGCAAGCCGAGCTGGAGACAGCTCGGGAGCGGATTCATCGTCTTGAGAGCGATGCTTCGGCTCAGAAGACCGAGTTGGAGAGGTTTCAGAGGGACAACAGGGCTCTGAGGCTTGTGGTGAAGAACCTCGCGACCTCGAAAGGGGTCTTGGAGCACGAGGTCGAATACCTCCAGGCCGATATCAAGGAGAAGACCGAGATCTTCCTCCAGGGCCTCGAGGATGCTAAGGTGAAGGCCGTCGACGACTACATTGCTTTGGCGCGCTTTGATGACCTGATGGTGGGCTCGTACTAGAGGGGTTTCTTCGATGGATGATAAAGCATGCGTACCCTGAGGTCGACACCAGTGCCATAACCACCTCGCGCATCACTCCGGAGATGGTTGCCGCGGCTGACGATGATGTAGACTCTGAAGACGAAGCGGACCCTCCAAGTGCTGCTGAGGTTCCTTCTGAAGGCAAGGGAGATGTGCCCCTGAGTTGATGTATGCCGAGCCTGCGAGCTCGTTTTTGTTTGTTCTTTCTCTTTTTTGGAATGAAATGTAAACAAGATATTTTGCAATGAAATGTCCTTTTTTGGTTAAGTGTTGTGCACTGTCATTTTCTCTCTTTTTTTTGCCGAACTGCTAAAATTAGGCCCTGAGGCGAGTTAACGTAGTAAGGCTATACACCCGATCTGTTCTCCGCCTGGGTTGGTTAACGTAGACTAGAATTGGGTCCCGGGCTATGCACCTCGGCATCCATACTTGTGCAGCCTGCTTTGGCGCTAACACTTGGCCTTCGTCGATGAGGTGCCGAGGTCCTTGTTAGTTCGGCATTCTGGCCCTTAGGCTCTGATAGTGGCTCATAGTTCACTTAGTTTGGTAATTCATAGGTAATATCGTCTTAGGTTGACGATGTTCCATGCCTGGGGTATCTGTTTACCCTCCAAGGTTTTGAGCTTGTACGCTCCCCTGAGTGTTCTCTTTACTCGGTAGGGTCCTTCCCAGTTTGGTCCGAGTTTGCCAACGCCGGGCTCAGGTACCATGACCTTGCGAAGAACTAGGTCGCCGATGTAGAAGTTTCGCCTCTTGACTCTAGCATTGTAGTACCGAGCTACCCTTTGCTGGTACGTTGTTGTCCTGATGTAGGCGAGGTCTCTCACCTCGTCGAGCAGGTCGAGGTTGGTACGTAGCTTGTCTTCATTGGTCCGGTTGCAGTACGCTTCCAGTCGTAATGAGGGGATTTCGATTTCAGCTGGGATGACTGCCTTCGTACCGTAGGTGAGGTTGAAGGGGGTTTCTCCGGTGGCGGTCTTCTCTGTAGTTCGGTAGGCCCATAGGACGCTAGGTAGTTCGTCTGCCCATAGTCCTTTAGCTCGGTCTAGCTTGACCTTCAATCTGCCTGACCGTTTGCTTGCGGGTGTGCGATCGACATGAAGTTCTGTCGAATCCCTATATCTTGGCACCATTCCTAGAATTTGATATCCTCGAACTGCTTGCCATTGTCGAAAATCATTACCCGAGGCAACCTGAAGCGACACACTATGTTCTTCCAAAAGAAGTTCTGGACGTTTCGAGTTGTGATTGTTGCGAGAGGTTCAGCTTCTACCCACTTTGTGAAGTAATCTACCGCCACTACTAGGAACTTCCTCCCACCTGTAGCTGGCGGGAATGGCCCAAGTAGGTCGATGCCCCATTGTGCGAAGGGCCATGGACTGGTAAGATACTTGAGATCGGCGGCGGGCTGATGGTGGATATTGGCATGCTTCTGGCACTTGTCGCATTTTCTTACTAACTCAACGGCGTCTGCTTTCATTGTTGGCCAATAGTATCCTTGTCTTAGTGTTTTTTGAGCGAGGGCCCTGCCCCCCAGGTGTCCGCCACACAGGCCTTCATGAATGTCGTAGAGTACAAGCTCGGCTTTGGGAGGCCGCAAGCAACGCAGGTAGGGGAGCGTGTAGGATCTCCGGTACAACCATCCATCTATTATGACGTATTTGGCTGCCTGGCGCTCTACCCTCCTAGCGGCGTTGCGGTCTGCGGGGAGGGTTCCACGTAGCAGGAAGCTCGCGAGTGGATCGATCCAGCTCGGCTCTGCTTGGGCGACAGGAACGACCTCCTCTGCCCCTCCGAGAATGCTAGGCCGAGGTAAGTCCTCTATGTACACTATTCTCATGGTGTTGTCACTGGTGTTGGCTAACCGGGACAAGGCATTGGCCTTAGCATTCTCTGACCTCGGGATTTGCTTGATGAAGTGTGACTGGAATTTAAGCAGAGCCTCCTTTACCTTTGCCAAGTAGGCGATCATACTGGGCTCGCGGGCTTCGTATTCGTCTGTAACTTGGTTGACCACAAGCTGGGAATCGCTGCAGATAACTATGTGTTTTGCTTCTACCTCTTGCACTAGGGCTAGCTCGACTATCAACACCTCGTATTCCGCCTCATTGTTGGGTGCCGCGAACTCGAAGCGTAGTGCGTACTCCAATTTCGTGCCACTCGGGCCGTGAAGAACTACACCGGCTCCGTTGCCCTGCTGATTTGAGGAGCCATTTACGTGAAGGATCCAGGGCTCTTCATCCCAGTTCGCGCTTGGACTAACCAGGAGAGATACCGAACTGGGTGTGACCTCACGGTGCTCGGACTCAACCGGCCTAGGAGCACCGAGCTCACCCGAACTGGGAGCCTCGTGTTCAACTAGGCTAAGGACCTCGGAGCTGAATGTGCATTCTGCCACAGAATCTGCCAAGTCTTGGGCTTTGATAGCGGTTCGTGGCTTATATTGGAGGTCGTATTCACTGAGTTCGATGGCCCACTTCGTCAATCGACCAGAGACCTCGGGCCTGACCAATACTTGCCTTAAGGGTTTGTCGGTGAGGATGATGATAGTATGGGCTTGGAAGTACGGACGGAGTTTACGGTTCGCTATTACCAGCGCATAGGCTAGCTTTTCTATCTCTGGATATCTCATTTCTACTCCCTGCAATACTTTACTAACGTAATAGATGGGTCATTAGACCCGATCTACTTCCTTTATCAGTACCGAACTGACCACTTCGTCGTTCGTTGAGAGGTATAGTCCTAAAGCATCACCCTCTTCGGGCCGGGTCAAGACTAGAACACTGGCGAGGTATCTTTTGAGCTCATTAAACGCGAGCTGGCATCCCGGGTTCCACTCGAACCCTTTGCTTTTCATTGCCTTGAAAAAGGGCAGGCAGCGGTCTGCCGATTTAGACATAAAACGACTCAGAGCGGCTATTTTGCCATTTAACCTCTGAACCTCTTTTACTTTTCAGGGTGATCTCATATCTAGGATGGCCTTTATTTTATCCGGGTTGGCCTCAATACCGTGCCAGTTGACGACGTACCCTAGGAACTTACCCGAGGTGACACCGAAGACACACTTGTTTGGGTTTAGTTTAATACCAAATTGACGCAGAACTCGAAAGACCGAATGCAAATCTTGTATTAATTCATGCGAAAACTATGTCTTGACGACCATGTCGTCTACATAACATTCTTTCTTTGTGCCAATTAAGGGTTGAAACAACTTATTCACAAGCCTTTGAAAAGTTGCCCCATCATTTTTCAGTCCGAAGGGCATAAACTTGTAGCAGTACAGGCCGAACTCGGTTATGAATGAAGGGATGAGAGATCCATCCTATGGACGCCCAAAAGATTGCGGAATAAGGGGCGAATTTCAAAAATTTTTCTCTCCCTTCAACTGGGAATCGTATTCCCTATTTAGAAAATCATATTTTCAAGGATCAATTCTGAACCATAAACTGAACCAGATCTGAACCAAAAAGGAGTGGGA